CTGACCCCAGGAATCTTAACGGCCCTCAAACAACCTGATCTGTCTTGTTACACACTGATGCCCCCTGCAGGCAGACTGGAGCAACAGCAATGCTTTCTTGACATTGCTGCATTTTGAATCTCAAAACCATACTGCAACAAAACCTTTTTGTGTTTTCTCACATTTTTTATTTTTCAAAATTGTGAATGCAGTTGGGATGTGCAGAAAAAAAAAATCTCCCTTAAAAAAAAGACAGAAAAAATGTTGGATACAAAAAAACACTACTTTTTTTTCTTTGCCCACTTCTATTATAAGTTAATGATGATGAGAAAAAACCTGATTTGCCGGATTTCTTTTATCTGCATCTTCTACAAATCTGTCATTCAGACGCATGGCAGTTGGCCAACAGAAACCAGTTGACCGTTGTACCGTCATACTATCTCCGTGTGCTGTTTGTTATCATTCAAACCTGCTTGCCACTCCCTAGCAACTAATTCAGGTGTGTCCAGGACCCGCCCTAGACGAGCTATGTGTGTGTACCTGTGTGCATGTTCTATGTGATTATAGGCTATGTGTCTCATAATTCAACCGGTTACAGATGAGTGGTAAAACTGAGAAAAACGATTTCAGAGATGTGACTGAGCTTTCACTGAGCAGACAGTGAGTCAGATTTCGTCTGCTGAGAAAACACAAGTGTACTTTTTCAGTGTGATAACGGTGTATAGATAGATAGATAGATAGATCTTTATTTGTTATTGTACAGGTACAACGAAATTACAATAGACTCAAGGTGCCAACACGCAACAACAAGACAATATAAAAACAACAAGACAATATAAAAACAACAAGACAATATAAAAACAACAAGACACTATAAAAACAATAAATGGGACTTAAAAAGACATGATAGGGAATATGTACATAAATAAATAATAAATAAATTAAATTGCACGATTCCCCTCGTATTGCACGGAAGGCTTATATCATTTAAATATTAGCAGCGTTTAGTGCACATATGGCCCTGGGGAAAAAACTGAGCTTGAGTCTGTTTGTCCGGGAAGACATGCCTGAGCGAAGCCGTACGAAGTGCTCGTTACCCGGGTGGTGTGGGTCCTTAAGGATTTTGACTGCCTTCTTAAGGCAACGAGAGCTGTACAGTACCTCCAGGGAGGGGAGGGGGCAACCAATGATCTTCTGGGCCGAGTTGATGACCCTTTGGAGCGCACCCCTCTCTGTGGCTGTGCAGCTGAGGAACCACACGCAGATGCAGTAGGTGAGGATGTATCTATGTGTTTGTGTGTCTATGTGTCATAATGTTTTGTGATAAAACGAAATGCTTCTCTGGACAATGTAACCACAAATTCCTTTTGGTGCACTTTAGTCCAAGAGATAGACTAGTGCAATCATGTGGGATCTATTGCTATGGGGTTAGTATCAACTTAGGTAAGAATAACAATGGGCTGGCCTAGGTACACGTAGTGTGGACTGTGCACGACCACACAAAGATACACACACACACACACACACACACACACACACACACACACACACACACACACACACACACACACACACACACACACACACACACACACACACACACACACACACACACACACACACACATACATACTGTCAAAAGATTTCCTGCAGATAAGCAAATATTGTAAAAGAAAAAAAGGTCAACACAAAGGTTACTTTTCTTTTTTAGCTCTTGATTATTGCGGAATGGCCTCTGATGATTTGTAGGCCTACATCAGTTTATGACTGAGGCCATGGGCCTTATATTCTGAGGAATATTGGGGGGGGTGGGGGTGGGGTTATGACATGATGAGGAGTTAATATTTTAAGATAGATAAGGCATTTAAAGGCTGTTTCTGGTTTTGTTTGTATAACAAATTGCTTGAAAAAATGCCTTCGAAATGAATTTATATTATCATGTAGTGAGGTCAAGTTGAAGTCAAACATTTCTTGAAGACGGGGGTTTCTGACCTCAGTGTTTATAAACCCATGGCTATTGCACCCTCTATTGTTTGTTATGTATTTGCTAAATTCCTTTTCATTTAGTTAATGTGACAACCTTGGTTCTGTCCCCCCGGTGGTCCTGTGAAGCAGCACTGAAGACATGTCTGAATTTCAGTATATGAATCCATGAATCAGTGGAAAGTCTGAGGAACCATCTGTGTGTTAACAAGCTGCTGGGGAAACTCAGATCACAGTGTTAATACGTGAGACAATGTTAATTGCCTACGTCATTTAATAAACCACTGTCAGGGTTGACTTTTTACCTCACTGTTTACTCATGAATGATATCAGTGTCAGTGTCTGGAAATGATATCATACATGTGTCTACAAGTGTCAGCAGGCCTCGCCTCTACTGTGAATCACTAGCCTTGATTCTTCAGAGTAAACCTGGTGATGCTCTTGCATTGCTTTTGATATAAAATCAGACACTTTGGTGTGAATACGTGTAGTTTTATATTCCAGATGTCAGTTTGATGATGACAACACTACATGAGTGACAAATTCCCCATTGCAACAAATCTCCTCTTCACAACCAGGAAATATTGCGGTGACCCGCAGTGAGAGCAAACATCAAGTTAAATATTTACTCCCAAGCTGTAAGCTGACAGTTAACTTTCCCCTCAAATGGCTCTGTGTATCTGAATGGACAATGCAGACAGATAGTGAAGGTTACAAACAAAACAAGGATTAAGGGTAGCTAGAGGGTCGCTCCAGTGCATGACAGACAGGTATTACAAATTATGAATATAACTAAGAACTATACCTGCATTATTTGTCACACCTTACTGTAACCGTCATGACATTTTAATCTACCAGAATGATTAATATCTTACAAAAAAAAAAATGTGAATGCTGTGAAAAAATATCCCTGCACAAGAATCCAGAAACAACTCTTAGGCAGTTGTGTGGCTGAGGTTGAATGAGGCCAAACCCTTTTTATTGCAGAGCTTATAATTAATGGCATGCTTCCAATTATTCCTCATTATCTCATTATACAGCAAGGTTCACTGTCCCACTGTTCAGTCTGTCTCTCTTTGCACGAAAGCTGTTATTAGACAGAAATTTGGAAAATTGTACATGTTCAGTCTTGTAGTGTCTTTTGTTTTTAGAACATGTATTAAGAGTGAGGAAATAAGTGAGTACGTAAAGCAAACCCACCTTAGCCAATAGTGGTATAACAAAAAATGTCAGTTGTGTCTTTAGATGGGTGTGTTTGACGTTTGAGGCTGTTTTTTGTTTGAAAGTCAAAAATAATTACCAGATGAGGCATTGTGTCATATCAGGGGCAGACAACTCATGCCAAGTGTTGTTAATTAAATGCAGTTAAAAAGTTTGACTGTGAAAAATTAAGATAGTAATGCTTGAATGTCTGGAGAATTCCAGTTTAGGGTGTTGGTCTCAATGACTGCCTGCTATCTATCTCTCATTCTATCTGTTCTCACACTTCTATGCGATGAGTACCTGCGTGTTTAGTGGCTAACACTCACCAGAGGGCACAATATGTCACCCAAGTCATAGAGTTTTCTCTATTGATCCTAGGCTTAGAAACTTTATCATGATGAACTTAATTAATAAAGACCAAAGCACTTGAGACATTGTGTGCATGTATATTTTTATATATTTTCATATATTTGTTATCTACCAAAATGTGATGGGAAATACAATCCCACTCAAGTTACGTTTTATTTTCAGACTTTTAATTTTCTGGAACTGCCTTCACTCCCTTCCACTTTCCAAATGATGTCCAACAGTGATTTTTACATTTTGATATGTGTATTTGGGTTGTATATATTGAACAAACATAAACCACCTGTGGTGTGTGTGTGTGTGTGTGTGTGTGTGTGTGTGTGTGTGTGTGTGCAGAGGAATGGAGATAAACATAAAATAAATACTTAGTGAACTTGGTGTTACTTCTTTGTCAGCTTCAAGCAGAGACACCAAACACGCATCAATCAAATGGACTCCTTCTGACCTCAAGAATGTTAAACCATGGATGAGAAATTCTTTGCACAACCACTATCTCTACTGACTCTGCTGAGGATTTAATGGGCCGGCTGCTGTATTTTTCAATTATCGTAAACTGTTTATAAACAGCACTATTACTTGCCAGGGTTTGAATAAAGGAAAGCAGGTCAAAAAATAGCAAGAAACCATAGTTTGAATCTTAAATCCAAACAAAAATCACATCATGAATTTAGAACAAGTCTTCATAGGGGCTATAAGTAAGATTAAGTGATAACTAAACATCTATAAAAAGACCGGCAGTCTTTAAGAATAAGTTATTTTTATTTTTGTATTTATTACATGAAAAATGTAGAGATGGATATATCACAGTGGAGGCTAATGTCCAACTGTTATTCATTGACAAATTAGACAGTCCAGTAAACATTTAAAAAACATTACGTTCAATCATCAACAGGAAAGGCAAAATGTTCTTTTGATGCAGTCAAGAAGATACAATTACAAACAAGCTACAACTGAGAAAAACATGTTTTATCTAATTAGACTTAAAAGTAAATAGAAATAAAAATGTAAACAACAGTATGAAGTACACCTAACCAATACCTGTCTCAAATTCATCATTATCATCATCATAGAGTTCTAGTTTGAAGAACAGTGGCTAAGTAGCCCATCTCATAGGCTTTTATTCATTTCCCCCAGGAAAGTCTATTAGCTTACTCAAAGTTAAACACATTTTGTTTCATGTATGCATGTTGAAATCAAAAGTTGTGATTACGACATACTTAACAACTTTTTAGAAGAACGAAAAGACAGCCCGAGCAATAATCTTCCCACACAGACCAGAGGGTGCCAGGAGTGTTTCGTAAACATAGCAAGGTGTGGTTTCTGTGCAAAAGCGGCCAGCTTCCGTCCATTCACACAGAGCAGAGCATTATCTGCGCAACAGGAGACAGGAGGGGAGCGCGGTATGTCCTCTGTGTGTACGACACAGCACACCGACATTTTAAGACTTTGTTCAAACTAACTTCGCAAACATGAGTATGTACGGCTCTAATACGAAATTGCCCACCTTGGGCCCGAGGAGTAATTCGAGACAGGATTTGGCGAATGCAAGTTTCAGAAACGACATGTTAGCCGGGGGAAACGGCTTCCAAGGAGAATACCCACCGGGGGACGGCGGATACACCTACGCCTACTCCAGGACCTCCTTGCACGGGGCCGGGGGATCGAATATGGCCGTTAGCATGGGGGCGGCAGGTGGGGGAATGAGGTAAGAAATCACCTGTTGCCTGAGGTTTTGCTTTAATAAGCCTTTACATGTCGTTAAATAATTTTTTTCCCAGCTTCCAAATCGCTGAACCATAAACTACACATTCATTATTAATACATGTTTTGTCATCCGCGTCCATGTAGCTAAAGCCATAAACCCCATTTGGGAATGTTTAATCGATAATGTTATTTTTATTGGCACCATTAAAGGTGGGGTAGGTACGTTTGAGAAACCGGCTCGAGATACACTTTTTGTTATATTCCATGGAATGCTCTTAACATCCCGATAGCAATGAATATTAAATGCTTTGACAATAAATCCATTAAAAAACGTCATCTGTGGAAGCCGTAGTACTGTAAAAAGCACGTCCAATAATTTTAGCCGGCCCGGCTAAAATAACTGGATGGCCTACCTGCCTGTCAGCCTTCCATCTGTGCACAAACTTATCTCGTGCCCTCATTGGTCATGTGCGCGTTCGTGTGTGTTGGAGGAGGGGCTCTGTAAGGAAGTGGAAGATTTTTTTTCCGGCTGTGTATTTTAAAATTCTAGCGCACTCGAGCTGGTTTCTCCAAAATTACCTACCCCACCTTTAAGATTAAGAAATGTAATCAAATAGGTTCCATTAACACTGCTAGCTCATCTGTAGCTGTCGAGCCAAGTATTTTATTTGTCCAAAATCTAAACAAGATCCATGTTGACCTACATTGCTAAGAACGTAATTTCCCTAGTTTGTCTTTCGTTTCAAAGTAATCATTGTTGTATCAATCTTGATTGATTGCCAAATATTCCATATAGGAAATAGCCTACGTGCATATGCCCCTTGAATGTCTTCCAGTTCAGTCATTCATTATGATGTGACTGCTAATGTTTGTGATGATTTCTGTGACAGAGCTTTTCAAACAATGTCCTTGCTGTACAAACTATTTCCTTATATAAAAAAATATTCTTAATGCTTAACTTATGGTGAACAAAGGTAAAGTAAAACATGAATGGGGGAGTTGCAATCTTTTTAAAGAGAGAGAGTCAAGAGTTTGTTCATTTTTTGTATTGGCAAACTTTTGATGACCTTTTCCTTGTCTGTTAAAAAAATTGTTTAAGGATTAAACTGCAAGTTTATGATTTTGAAAATGATTATTCCTCACCAGAAATGTCCTGTTGTCACGCAGTTTTTTCATTAAAACCTCTAACATATTTATAGTAAGTATATAGTATAGTATAGTAACTGTGTATAAAACTTATTTTTTAAATATGCTTTTTACATTGATATTTTTTTTAAGTTATATTACAAACTCTGAAAATGTGTTGTTTTGTTTTTTTCCCATGTGTAGTGCACAGGCAATTCAGCAAAAAGCTCTGTACCTGACAAACCAGTGCCAGAGCTTCATGCAGAGGGCCGAAAGGATTCTCCAGGGTGTAAGTGAAGCATACAGATTACACTGAACTCAACTCAAGTGTGTGTTTTCACTAATTGTTATAAGGTGTTCTCTTCATGCAGCAACATGGCAATGCTTTATCATCAGATATGATTTTAAAAACAGATAATATCATCCACAACGATTCAAGTGAAGTATAATTTGGCAGGAGTAAAGAGCTTAGTGTCTGTACTGTGTGATTCTATAGGGGGGTCAAGCTGCAGAGGCAGACAAGCTGTTGATGATGGCTGCAGAAACCATGGAGCAGATGATGGTCTGTGGCAGGGACCTGCAGCAAATGCGTATACCTAATGACATCTTTGGAAAGTAAGATAAGATGCAGCGTGATAGTTTGCTGTCTTTTTTTTTGCCACTGCATGCATACATTCATGAATACATATTACCTACCAAAGGTTAGTAGATACAATATTCTAGTATTTGAGGGTTTACAGGATAATCTGAATTTCATTCTGTAATGGAAGCTTTTAAAGACAAAGTATTTTGAGGAGTTGCCTTCTCAATATTGTTTTCAGCTGTATTTGCCCAGCAGATGTCTTTGATGTTCATGGCTCAGTGTGCCCTCTGGAAGATTCACAAATATTCCTTTTTTTTCTGCAACAACAGCGTAGAACATTTCCAGCACATGCATGGTGCTATGCAACAGCAACTAGGCAGTAGTGTGACGACAATCAGACGGAGAAAAAGCAGCGCGGGTTCCCAGGAAGGGGGGAGGATCTTTAATGACGCCATCGCCTGGATTTCTCAGCAAAAGGTGAGCACTACATTCATTAGAGACATCTAAGATCTCAATCAAAACAAATGTGGGTAATACGATTGAAATACATTTTATGATAATATTCCTCATCAAAACACATCACTATATATATATTTGTAGAATCAAATATAAAATGATGAAATACAGGATAAAAGTGTAATTATTAATCATCTGTGTTCCCCTTTAATGGACTAAACCCTTTACACAATATATATAATATAATGCATTTCATGTTAAAAAGAGTTGTAATTACTTGTTTTCACTAAATGATACAGATTAGTCACTAGTAAGAGTGAACTTGATGGCACCCTACGCACAAAACACTTTGTCCAATAGTATTATAACCGGTTTGGCAGAATGAAAAGTAGCACCTGCATGTGTGTTCATGCCTGAATGCGTAGCACCATTTTTGATGTGAAGTGAGGATGACAGAAAGGAGGGGGATGCACTTACACTATCACTTATTCTGACCTCCTGTAACTGAAACCATCTGGACATGCTGCCAAAACCTGATCCGTGAGTGAAAGAGGCCAGGGGGGGGGGGGGGGTGAAGGAGGATTGAAACAAAGAGTTCTGCCATTTCAGAAAGAGACGCCAGAGAGGAAGGCAGAAACAGAGAGCGGTGATATATAGTGATAAAGGAGCTGCGGGAGCCAAAAGAAAAGTAGAAGTAAAGCAGTGTGAATTGTGACACTTCCCAACGAGTGGGATAGGGCAGGTCAGCACAACTTTGACATGCTCATAGGAAAACGCCCGTCTATTCTCTACCTCCCCAATCCTCAACCCACCCAAAAAACACACCCTGTTGTTCTGTCACCACTTCAAGCCTCACCCTGTTTCATCATTCAGCCCCCCCTTCCGGTCGTGAGATTTAGAAATACTTCTTTGCATATTTTTCTGTCTCAGTTAATACTTTAAACTCCTTTGTTTAAACTAGAACACTGGAAACAGCACTTGATGACCTACTGCTTACATTCCCCCCCCTCTCTTTATGTACTTCCAGTCATCACAATTAGAAACGGGTTTATTGCCAAGTAGGTTAACACATACGAGGAATTTGCCTTGGTGTACCTACATACAGTCCACTTTTGTTGACCTTTCTACTATAGACATTAGCTGTTCTGCTGTCAGTCTCTTAACAGAGAAAGTGTGTGTAGCTTCAGCCAAGCAGTCATGCTTTGTTCTCTAACCACTCCCTTTTCGGGAGTGGTTAGAGAACAAAGCTTTGAGAGTGAAAACATGTAAGTGAAAAGCAGGGACTGGCTGAGGTTGTTTTTTTCTGGCAGAGCTCTTATCAAAGCTGAAAGGTTGCTAACAAGGGGGGAATAGTTGGGATAGTTTCCTGCTTGACAACCAATGTAAATGCTGACACCTGGAGGACAAAGAGGTGAAATACGTCAGGGAATAAAAGTCAGGGAGAATAGTGTTGAGACTAACAATTAGGTTGCCTTAAAGAATAAAGAGAGCTCACTGTGTTATTTCTTAGTTGATCTTACTAAAAAGCATTGCCTTTTTACGCTAAAGCGGATAAAGATAAGTCCTCTGTGCATTTTTCAAAAACCCTTAAATACACATGAACCACACCCACACCTTTGCACTGATTGACATTTTGCAGCAGTTCGTTTATCTGTCTATTGCACAAACACTGCATCATTTAAAAAAGGAAACAACGCATTGGTGACACATTTTTAGAGGTTAAAAATCTATCGGAAGGGAGTCCAGAAAGCATCAGTGGATCGATTATTCATTGTTGGTAATTCATTAATTATTTATTCAAACTTGTATGTATGCAGTACTGGTATTTCATAAACCATTGTACAGTAATGTTCCAACTAAATGCCATGTCAATTGAAGTAGATTTTGATATTGTAATTGTGTGCAGCACTTATTGCATTATAAAGTAATAAACTGTGATTCTGGGTCTTATAGCGCATGATTGAGACCGCTCCATATGGAGATGACTCCGAAACCATAGAAAAACAAATCACAAGCCACAGCAGAACCCACAGCTCTTTACAGAAGAGCCAGGAAGTAGACCGTGCCAGAGATGATCTGGTAAGTGGTTGTTTGGACCGGATTCTTTAGATATCTTATTTGTTAAGTACGATTTTTGACTGTGTATCATGTGTACAACAGTTTTGTAATCTTATTCAAGACTGAGAAACAAACACAATATCTTTCTTCAGAACTTGAGGGGGGACAAGTACAACCTGGCAATCATGGAACAAGAATGGGAAAGCCTGCAGGTAAAACCAAACTATTTTACAAAGATGTTTTTTATAGTTTGTCAAAATCCTTTTTTTAAAAAAAATACATATTCCTGTCTGTCTCAGAAAATGTCCCACAACCGTGCGGATCAGCTGCGAGACCTTCTGGGCATCATCAATGACATCTCCAGAGCCATCATGTGGGTGAATGAGAGAGAGGAGGAAGAGCTTATGTTTGACTGGGGAGATAAGAACATCGACCACTATATCCCAAAAAAGCAAGAGAGCTACTCGGTAAGACTTTCTATCTGAACCCCTCTTTTCTCCTGGTTTGGTGTTTCTATCATTACAATCGTAGTTAAAGGTCCCATGTCATGGCCATTTCCACTGATCATAATTCCATTGTTGAGGTCTATTAGAATAGATTTATATTGTGCAATTTTCCAAAATCACTTTGGTTTCTCATACAGCATCTCTCTGTAAACTATATGTATTCACTGAATTTCACTCTCTGCCTTTAACGGCTCGTTGTAGCTCCAATAGCTCCAGCCCCCACCCTCCCTGTGAGCACAGTGTGCTCTGATTGGTTGGGACGTTGTGAATCGAGCTGAGCTCCGTGGAGGTGTGGTTTCCTTGTTTAGCGATACACAGCGAAACACAGCCAAACTCATCCTGAGCACACACAAAGTCACAGCCGAAGTAAAAACAATAAGTGTGGCTTGATATTGAGTAAGAAAAAGGTTGATAAACGCTGTGAGAATGGGTCTGCAGCGAGAATTTCGCCGCGATTCCAACTGTCTGTTATCAGCCTGCAGCCCGAGAGGAGAGATCAGCAGAGCTGCATGCACTGAGTGTGTGAGGAAGTCCGTGGATTGGTCAATTTGGACCAATCAGCGCGGGCTTAACGTAACGGCTCCGCGGACGTAACATAACGGCTCCACGGATTGGTCCATTTGGTTCCGGGTAACGCATGACATCATGAGTTACCCGGAAGAATCAATGGACAGTGACGTATCTCCAACGAGGCGTTTTGGGGAGGTATTTTCTGTGTTAGAGTTTTACTCGCTACAGGGTGTACTTTGAGGGTTTTGACTCTGCACACCGTTTACATGCATAAAAACCTTCATAACACACAAGGGGACGGGTAATAACCGGAAAAGCATGTCATGGGACCTTTAAGTATGTTCTGTATGTCTTGGTCCCTTACTTCCTGTTCTCCTGACAGGAGCTGATGGGGGATCTGGAGGAGAAAGAGAAGGACCTAAACAAGCTGAAGCTGAAAGCGGATGGACTCCTGAACAACAACCACCCTGCCTCAGATAAAATTGAAGTAAGGTGTTTTATTTTATTCTGGGTATTCCATCATTATAAAGAAAAAATGTGCTATGCACTGACAACTGTGTGTGCCAACAGGCCTACATGGACACCTTACAGACCCAGTGGAGCTGGCTTCTCCAGATCACCAAGTGTATCCATGTTCACTTGAAGGAGAATGCTGCCTACAGCCAAGTACGTGCTCAATCCTGTTCCAGCTGGTATGAAAGAATGCCCTGCTGGTCTGTTAGTGTGATTACTAATTAAAGCTTTTTGCTGCCCTCTTCAGTTTTTCAAGGAGGCCAATGAGACCGCTGCAAAGCTGCAGAAGGAGCACGAGACTATCCGAAGCAAGTTTACCTGCGACAAGAACACCTCACTGGATACCCTCACTGAGCTCCTGAGAAACCTGGAGGTATCACTATACATTTAAACATCTAGATTACCATTTTCCTGCTGGTGTGAAGTACAAAGCATGCTCAACTATTTGTTCTGTCAAATCATTTGGGTTTAAACCACCAGTTTCTTAAACGACACAATGGAATTCCTGTGCATTGTGTCTGCAGTTTGTTGTCTGAATTCACGTTTTGAACTTTGGTTTACAGTTGCCGTGTACAGTGGCTCCGTTAATAACACAGATGTGATGTTTGCATGTTTACAGAAAGAGAAGGAGCGAGTCGTCGACAATAAGAGGCAGGTCCACAGTCTGGTTAACAAATCTAAGAGCATTATCAGGCTGAAACCTCGTAACCCAGAGGAGAAGAGCAGCAGCCCCGTCATGGTCGAGGCCATATGTGACTTTAAACAAGACCAGGTGGGATATTCTTTCTCTATCTCACACACAAATACACACCCACACTGAGACCCAGAGTAATAAGTGGAGCATTACAGGAATAAATCAGCATTTTCTCAGTTGGGATTTTCTGTTTTGTGCTTCAGATCGGGATTTTGAAAGGGAATGAGGGCATCCTGAAGGATAACTCGCAGCGCAGCAAGTGGCTTGTGACTGGACCTGGAGGTCTGGACATGTTGGTTCCCTCTGTGTGTCTGCTGATCCCCCCACCAAACCCTCTCAGCATTGGCCTTGCCAGCAAGTAAGAACCATCCAGTAAATGTACGCCAATGTAGGTCTGAAAAAGCCCTGGTTAGAGTTTTTTTCCCTTTAATAACTATATTTGAAATAAATGGAAAAAGCTTCCCTTTTGGGATGACTATGCATATGTTGTTGTTCAATATGTTCTTAAAGGTTTTAATTAGCAAAGAAACGAGTTAGCAATCTGTTAAAATTACTATGACAATATATCATAATGTTTATTATATAGTGTTTGATTTGAATGGCTTGTGGTTTTTCTAGGTATGAGCAGTATTATGAAGCCATCATGAACCTCTGGAATCAGATCTACATCAACATCAAGAGTCTCATCGCATGGCAATACTGCCTCAAAGACATGACTTACATCAACTCCCTCACTTCCAGCATGGTGAGATATCACAACGAAGGCAATACACTTAAAGGGCAACTACACTAACATCTCTCTCTCAAATCTAAAAACTAGAGAAAGGGCTAAAACATAAACGTAGGGAGGCGTATGGCGCATTGGATAGAGCCTTGGTGTTCGGATCAGGGGGTCACAGGTTCAAACCCCACTGCAGTCAGCATGTCGTTGTGTCCCTGGGCAAGACACTTCAACCCTATTGCTCCTGTGGGGATTGTCCACAGTATTGAGTATGTAAGTCGCTTTGGATAAAAGCGACATGTAATGTAATGTTATCAAGTATAAAGTCTGGATCTTCTATATCTTCTATATATATATATATATATATATATATATATATATATATATATATAAAAAGCTCATTTTAGTATAAAAAGGAAAGCAAATGTTCAGCTCTAGACTTATACTTGATGACATCACAAGTTTGAGAATTACTTCTGACTAGATTGAACTTTCCAATGCTATAAAATATGTAAATTAGCTTCTTTATTAAACTAATTCCCAGTTTTACTGTTTTATAATAGCTTAACTGTTTTTATACCAAGCAAAGCTAGATAAAACCAGGTTTCCATCCTATCTGAAACACGGTTTGCAGAAGTCTGCTCACTTCCTGTGTCTTTTCCTTAACCTGACCCCTGTCCATTGTCTTGCAGCTGTCTAAGATGCGACCCGATGAGTACCGCAGTATCTTCAAAAGACTGGAGAGTCATTACCAAGAGTTCTTGCGTACCAGCCAAGGTTCTGAGATGTTTGGGGAAGAAGAAAAGAAAAATATCCAGGACAACTTTGATAAAACCCAGGCCCACTATGATACAATGGTTGGTTCCAGTAAGTGTCAAATATCCTTATCTTCCTCTTAAATTGTCAGGCCACTAAATGTGCAAAAGTACTTCTGTTTCTTTCCACTATACATTGACATTCTTCACATTTTCCTGCAACCAATAAAGGGACTCCTGCCGCGATTCCCGAAACAATTCTCCCCATGGTCACATCCCCGGTCATACCCCCGGTCACACCCCCGCCTCCCACAACCAGTTCTTCCCTCAGCGTCGTCCTGCTCAGAAATCTGCAAGATATTCATCGCAGGCTGGAGCTGGCTGAGTCGGGGGTCACCAGCCATCTTCACATTCGCCTGGGGGAGAACAGCGTGCACGAGAGCTCAGTGCACATCGAGAAGCTAGAGGTGTGTATCTTTTCTTACAGTTCAGTCTAATTATAAGTGAGATGCTCTTTGCTTGAAAACACTTGCAAAATATAGGTAACACACGATACATTATAAAACAACTGATTATGCTAAATGTTAATTATCATACAATATTGAAATCCAGATTGTGCACCAAGAATTGGACTCCATTCATGATGAGTACATGCGACTCAGAGAAAAGATTCTTAAACAACTGGAGGGGATACCTCAAGAATCTGAGCAAGCCAAGTTCCTCCACTCTGAACTGAAAATCATCAACCAAAAACTGGGTGGCCTGCAGGCTCTCTACCCTGCCTACTTTGAAAGGTACATTTCACACACATCACATCACTTTTCTTTTCTTTTTATGTTAATAAATTATTGATAAAACTCACTTTGTTCTCTCATTAAAGGCTTTGAAAGTGATCTGCAAGAACCAGTGCATTTAACATGAAGGCTTTGTGTCTTTGACAGGATGTCAGCTGTTCAGGCTTTTCTCCAAAGCCTCCTTCAGGCTGAAGACATCATTAAAGTCCACGAGGCCCGGCTGACAGAGAAGGAGACCTCCTCTCTGGACCTCGAAGAGGTGGAAAACTATCGGAGCACACTGAAGGTTTGATACACTTTTTATAGATATGTATTTTAATAATGAAGTACTGAAATAAGTATTCTACTTCAATACAGATTTGAGTTACTTATACTTGAGTATTCAAATGTAATGTCGCTTTATACTTCTGCTCCGCTACAAGTCAGATGGAACTTGTTATTCTGGCCAATTGTTCTGCATTATGAGTACTTTTGAGGCCTTTTGCCAATGATACTTTTGTATTTTTTACTTAAAAGGACATTTTCAATGCAGAAATGTTACTTTTATTGGATTATTTTAATATTACAACATTGCCATTTTTTACTTTAGTTAGCAAACTTAATACCTTTTCCAAAAGTAACAAAATGTAAGATTCTCATCAAATCATGTCCATATTGTCAGATTAAACACCTCTTGATGTAAAAAATACTTTATAATTATTATTATTATCATTATTGTGGACATTTAAAATCCACTTTGTGATTTTCTATTCAAGCAAATGAAAAGCGATCTGGATCAAAAAAGAAACCTTCTGACGGCAATGGAATCTGACCTGAGTAGGGCAGTGCACTGGAATGGTCAAATCACTGAGCCCTACCACAAGTGTGACGTAGACTTGGCCAGGTACTCAGACCAGGTGGGCCAGATGTCCGACCGCTGGCGCCGCATCCAAACCCAGATTGACAGCAGGTACATAGTTTATGCATTTACACACATTTCTTTAATACCTGTGAATATTTCTTCACATCCTCCCTCCGTCATTGCTAGTAACAGCACTAAAAATATCCCTTCATCCCTTCCCCTGCCTCCTACTCTTTCCTCCTCAGAGTGTGGGATTTGGAGAAGCAGGAGAAACAGCTGCAACATTATCAGCAGAGCAGCAATCTCCTGGAGCAGTGGATCAACAATACCAGGAAGCGACAGGACACCCTTCAGACGGTTAAGCTCAACGACGTCCAGACTCTAATGGACCACCTTAACCAACAGAAGGCACGTCTTCTTTATACCAATAAATTGTAATCAATAATGACATTTGAACTGATTTGATTTCGTATTGGAAATATCCACCCATCCATTTTAATTGAGACAGCTTGAGCATTTGTGTAGGTGTAGATTTTTTACATTGTACAACAGCAAAAGAAAAGTTTGAAAACACATAAAAGTTAACTTACTATATTAACCAAATATATTTATTAATTTAGGTACCACTTGTTATAATATAATTAATGTATATTATTGTCTGATAAAGTAATAGCTCTCTTAGAAGAGTCACAGTCTGGACAGTGTTGTGTTAAATCAGTCAATGTAATGCCACCTTTTGCTCACTGCACAGGCTCTTCACACTGAAATAAAAGGAAAGAAGGAGAAAGTAGAGGTTATGCAGAAAAACGCAGACACCTGTGCGTCCTCCATAAAGGTAGGTGGTCAATAAATCTCCCCCATTTGTTTATTTAATATTATTTTTAAATACAGGAAAGAGATTGTGGTGCAAAATAATGAAGTCCATGTTGTGTTATGGGTTTTCAGGACTATGAGCTGCAGCTGGCTTCCTACAGTTCAGGCCTGGAAACACTGCTTAACATTCCTATCAAGAGGATAATGCTGCGGTCCCCCGCTTCTGTGGTCAGACAAGAGGTTTGAGTCCCTCCATTACGTCATATGAAACCAATTTTCAGTTAGATATTGTGTTCATCTTCTGTTTGTCAAATTTCAATTAAACAATGATTATTGCCTTTGTATTTTAAGCTTATGCAATACAACCTATTTAAGGTTAATCCCATAATTGCATATATTATTTAATGATATCACTGGTATTTATTTAACAAATGATCTTTTTTTAATCCTCTTATTTTGACTCCCAACAGGCATCTGGCCTCCAGTCCAACTACATCGAGCTACTGACCCGCTCAAGTGACTACTACAAGTTCCTGGGGGAGCTCCTGAAGAACATGGAGGAGCTGAAGGTAGGTTTCCGATTTGTAAGATGCCATTAAAGACATTGAGTCAAGTCAATATTATTATCTTAGTAAAATAAATAGTATGATCAAATTAATATATGTGAACAAATAAGTTGGTTTTAAAAATATAAAAGAAGTCACTGACGCTCTTCCTGTTTTTTCAATGCTCTCTCTACAGATCAGGAACACAAAGATAGATATGTTAGAGGAGGAACTGAGGCGTCTGAAGGACGAAATCCAGGGCCATAATCAGAAAAACAAGTCTCTGGAGGAGGCTATGGCCCGCTTAAAGCTGGAGCTCTCTCAATCACAGGAGAAGCTAATTTCTATGGAAGAGATTAAGGTGACCCACACGATGCATGTTAATGCCACCAAGGATAGCCTAGAGAGCACACACAGCAAGCTTCGAGATCTTAATGAACAACTGATCCAAATTAAATACGAGCTGGATGAAGAAAAGAGGAAGAGAAGACTGGCAGAGGAGCGCTACACCAGCCAGCAAGAAGAGTATGAGGGGGCCGTTCGCCGCAGACAGAAAGAGCTAGAAGAACTCAACTGGAGCAAGATTGATTTAGAAAAGTCGGTGAAGGACAAAGAACGTGAAGTGGAGAGGATGAAGATACTGTTAGATGAGGAAGTGCTGCGTCGACGAAACGCTGAATCCGATATCTCAAAGGTAAGAACAAAGTACACACAGGAGCTTAGTGAACTCAAGCAGACATACGAGACACAGATCCATGTTACCAAGACCACGATCCTGAAAACCGAGCAGCAGAAAGAAGAAGACACAGCAGATCTGAGGCTGCAAGTTGACCGACTCACTGCTGAAAAGAGAGATCTAGAGGAGGAGCTGAGGAGGCTCAGGAACTCCATTGATCAGATGGAAGAACATAAGAGCAGAGCAGAGCAGGAGGTCAGCCAGCAGAGGGCCTCGCTGGTACAAGAAACAAGAGTGCGCAGTGAGTTGGAGATTCAGCTGAGAACACTGATGCAACAGGGAGGGGACAATGACCTCAAACTAAAGGAGGCCACCGAAAACATTCAGGAAAAGTCCAGGCAGATCAGTCTTCTAACATTTAACCTGGAGGAGGAGGTGAAGAAGAGGAGGAACTTGGATTTGGAAATCAATCACCTGAAACAGGCTGAGGCAGATTTGAAGGCAAAGAACGCCTCCTACCTGGAGTCCATAAATATACTTAAAGTGTCTGAGCAGGAGATCCGCATCACCCGGGTAGAGCTGGAGAAGCAGACCAGCGAGAAAGCCAAGGTTGAGCAGAGTTCTGCCAGGCTGCAGAGCCGTATTCGGGAACTTCAGTGCTCTTTGGATGGAATGGAAGCTGAGGTGGAGAAGCAAAAGAAAGCAACCCAAGAAGAGTTCACACGTAGAAAGAGAATGGAGGCAGAGTTGCAGAGGATGACACATACTTGCAGAGAACACACTACCACGATAAGCACACTGAAATCTATCCAGATAGAGACTTCCACCAGTGGAAGGAAGTATGCGCAGGACCTCAACGCCCTCCAGGAGGCTCTGGACAAGAGTCTGAGAGAGCATAAAGTCACCAAGCAGGAACTGGCGGCTGTCACATCTGACCTGAGGTCACTTAAACAGAAACTCCAACAGGAAATGGCTCGTATTGATGAGCTCAACCAACGTAATGAGAACCTGTATAAGACCATTGAGGAGAAGAGCCTCCAGCTTAACAACTTCACTACAGAGATTGAAAAGCTAAAGACTCTGACGCAGAACCTGACGAAGGAAAGACTGAAGTTGGACGAGGAGCTGAGGAAAGTGAAACAGGAGAGGGATGAGCTGAAGCTTAACAAAGACGATATTGATGGAGAAACTTCCTCTCAGATCTCAGCCTTGCATGTCCAGCTTCAGAGTAGTTCCAGGAGGACCGCGGAGCTCCAGGGCCTCATCAATGACCTGACCAGGGAGAGGGAAAAACTTAAAATGGAAATAGACAAAGTCCAAAAGCAATCACTTGAGGTATTTTCGATAGCATTGATGGATCAACCCCACATAATTCAACTATTTGTGTCCTGCTTTTGCATGAATGCTTTAGGTGCTTTGAATCTGAGTATTTCAAAGTGGCCCTGTTATATTAGGGGCACATGATTTTATTTTTTTATTGGAATTCACTCACTTACTAATGCTTTTTCTTAGACATGCATGTTGTTCACCCATTCTCATTGTACATTCTGCCGTTCAACCTCAGTTGTACGAAACATAATAATCACTACTGCATACTAATCGATGTATAATAATAATATATTGATGATATATAATTGAATACATTTATTTAGATTAGCAATTAGTTTAATCGATATTGATTTGGTTGAGATACAATTGGCCAGGTGCCTCACAAATTAAATAGATAAGCACTTACAACATGCTGCCAAGGAAGAGCACGTAATGAGTTGTGGCTCTTTACATATGCTGCGTTTTGCCATGCATAATTTCTTGGCTTTTCTTTACAGAAATAATACCGTGTTTTCTTATCTCTTCGCAGACATCCATGATGGTGCATAGTTCCCAAAGCCAATACAGTGAGCTGCTGCTGGAGAGGGACAGTTTGCTGTCTAGGCTTAAACTGCTGGACCAGGACAAGAATCGTAATCAGCGCACAGAAGAAGAGCTAACCCGCATCAAGATCACGCTAGATACTGAGCTCCGCAACAAAAAGCATCTTCAGGATGAAAATAATGGTATCCTCAAGGATTTCAACCAAATGAAGAGCCAGTATGAGTTGAGAGAAAGCCACATTAGGAAGTTTGAATCAGACAGAGACAAGGCTGATCGAGACCGGATCTCCCTGAAGAATGAGATAGATAGGCTCACGAGGGAGCTGAAGAGTATTGAGGAGAGGTACAAGAGCCGTCTGACGATCTCTGAAAAGGAGGCAGCAGACCTGGCTCTCAAGAGAGCGGCGCTGGAGAAAGAGATACAGAGGCTGCAGCAGAGACCCAGCACTCTGAACAGGCAGACCCAGACAAATGAAAATGTCCCAACAATCGATCCATCCAAGCTGATATTTGATGGGGTACGCCGCAAAGTCACAGCCCACCAGCTTTGTGACTGTGGTATAATCACTAAAACCACACTGGACCAGCTCCTAAATGGAAAGAAGACAGTGGATGAGGTAGCCATGGACATCCAGCTGAGTCTTAAAGGCACTGGCATTATTGCTGGCATGAAAGCAGGTTCTCAAGGGAAAATGCCGTTCACTGAAGCGAAAAACAAGGATCTCATCACTCCAGAGAGCGCCCTCATGCTCCTTGAAGCTCAAGCTGCAACAGGCTACATAGTGGACCCAGCATTGAATGAAAAGATGCCTGTGGATACTGCCTGCTCAAGAGGGATTGTAGACACAGCAGACAGAGACACCTTGCTGACAGCTGAAGCAGCCAGCACAGGTTTTAAAGATCCATACAGTGGCAAATTATTATCTGTGGGTCAGGCTTGCAAACAGGGCCGTGTAGACAAAGTCACAGCCATCCGCTTGCTCCAGGCTCAGGATTCTGTTGGAGGCATTTTGGACCCAGTTCTGAGTGTGTTCCTTCCCAAAGATCTGGCCTTGGATCGCAATCTTATTGATGAAGAGCTCTACAGGGCTTTGAACAAAGACCCCACCTGCTACCTGGATCCTACAACAGCAAAGAAGATCAGCTATAATGACCTTCGGAAGAAGGCCAAGGTGGAACCTGTCTCTGGCTTGCTTCTGCTCAGTGGTCCAGAACAGCCCGATAAAGTCCCTGGTATCAGAGGGTATGTCACCATTTTAGAGCTCTACTCCTCTGGACTGCTGAGTGAAATTGATTGGGCAAGGTTTAAAGCAGGCGACCTCACCAGCAGTGAAATTCAAGAGAATCTAAAGTCCTATCTCTATGGCTCCTCCTGCATTGCAGGGATCTATGATGAGGCCAATGACAGAATAATGCCTTTCTATCAGGCTATGAAGGAAGGCCTGCTCATGCGAGGAACTACCCTGGAACTACTTGAGGCCCAAGCTGCTTCTGGCTTCATTGTTGATCCAGTCAACAATCTGTTCTTGACAGTAGATGAGGCTGCAAAGAGAGGCCTGATAGGAAAAGAGTTTAAGAATAAGCTGTTATCTGCAGAGAAGGCAGTAACTGGATACAAAGATCCATCCACAGGAAACAAAATCTCCCTCTTCGAGGCTATTGACAAAGATCTTATTGAGAAAGGTCATGGAATCCGTCTTCTTGAAGCCCAAATCGCCAGCGGTGGGATTATTGACCCCAAAGAAAACCACCGTATTGATATCGCTGTTGCCTATAAAAGGGGATACTTTGATGAGGAAATGAATGAGATCCTAACTTATGAAGGTGATGACACAAAAGGCTTTTTTGACCCTAATACTAAGGATAACCTGACATATCTTCAGCTGAAGGACAGGTGCATGACAGATCCCAAAACAGGCCTAACTCTCCTGCCAATCAATGACAAAAAGAAGGCCAAGAAGTCACAGGAGAGCCGTACCAATATCCTCCGCAAGAGGAGGGTTGTGATCGTTGACCCAGAAACTAACCTGGAGATGTCAGTGAGGGAGGCCTATCACCGAGAGCTTATTGACTATGACACTTTCCTGGACTTGTCGGAGCAGGAGTGTGAGTGGGAGGAGATAACTATCACAGCGTCTGATGGCTCTGAGCGTTTGGTGATCGTGGATAGGAAAACAGGCACCCAGTATGACATCCAGGACTGCCTGGAACGCGGTATCATTGATCAGACATATATCAATCAGTATCGTGCTGGAACGCTGACCTTGACACAGTTTGCTGACCAAATCACCAGCAGAACCAGCAGTACAGAGATGCACATTGCAGCCAGCAATGTTGATGACATATTCACCTGCAGCAGCAATCCCACCCAGGCCACACCATCTTCTCCCACAGTTCGTAAACGCTTCAACAGTGTTGTTATTACTGTTTCTCCCCCTGAAATGTTTGATGACCACAGCCCTGTGGGGGCTATATTCGACACAGAGACCTTGGAGAAAGTAACTGTGACTGAAGGGCTCCGGAGAGGTATAGTTGACACTATTACAGCACAGAGGCTACTGGAGGCCCAGGCATGCACAGGAGGTATTATCAACCCTGCTAATGGTGATAGACTGTCGCTGCAGGATGCTGTCCATCAGAGTATCATCGACGAAAGCATGAGTGCTAAGCTGAAAGCTGCCCAGAAAGCCTATGTTGGTTTTGAGGATGTGAAGACTAAAAGAAAGATGTCCGCAGCAGAGGCAGTGAAGGAGACATGGTTGCCCTATGAAGCTGGCCAGAGATTTTTAGAATTTCAGTACCTGACAGGAGGCCTGATAGAGCCTGGCTCTAGACGTCGCATCACCATTGAAGAGGCTATTCGTAGAGGTTGGCTGGATGGTCAAGGGGCCCAGAAGCTTCAGGATACAAGGAACCACCAGAAGAACCTGACATGCCCGAAGACAAAACTAAAGATCGCCTACAAGCAAGCCATGGACAGCTGCATGGTGGAAGAAAGCAATGGTATGAAGATGCTGCCGGCCTCCTCAATATCCTCCAAGGGAATCAGCAGCCCTTACAATGTCTCCAACCCAGGATCTCGCTCCGGGTCCAGGGCTGGTTCCCTTGCTGGCTCCAGGAGTGGATCTCGTAGAGGAAGTGTGGATTACTCCTCTAGCAGCTTCACATTCAGCTCCAGCAGTACCACCTTGAGCAATTCTAAATCTTAATACACAGCATAGAAAAATGAATCTAGACCTGTTTTTAACAACAGTCCATATGCAGTTTGAGTACTCTTTTAACAGTTTGCTTTTCTAAATGCTTTTCTGCTACTTGATGATGATATTTTGGGAAATTAGTTATTTTAAATGCATTTAAATGTTTTGATAGTTTGCAGATTTTGGTGATTTGGTTTTCCAATATTTACATGTATGCAGAGTATAATTAATATTCTTATTCTAAACCACACAAGTTAAATGAACATATTTGTCATAGCTCATTTTAATACATGGCTTATATTCAGAAATTAACAATGTGTTATTTTAAAGTATGCTTCAAAATTAAGTTGGCTATTTTATATTCTTATTTTTTTGCAGCTAGACTTGTGTATGATTTCATTTTTTTGTTGAAATACAAACCAAACGCATTTTGTTGATTGCAAATGCTGGTTAGCTTAAAATACTGACTTGTATGATTAATGATCAACTGCAAAAATCACTTGCTACTAACATGTTATTCTCACACAATTGAAAATAAAATGTTCATAACAATGTTGATTCATTCCATTACTCATTAATTATTTTATTAGCTTAATATTTCTTTGTTGTGCATTAATAGACAGTTTTATAACCGTTCACTGTTTAAGGAGAGGCTCAGCAGTATCAATTTTAACCAATGAGTGGCGCTAATTGTCATACTAAAATAGTTCAGATGCAAGTCTGATTAAACCTAAATGCCAGTCTGTTTGCCACTTTGGTTATATATTATAATATAGCAACACTGTAATGTTGGATTGACGAAACAACTAGCAATGTATAACCTGATATTTAAAACATGCTAATCATGCTCAATATAAAACTATATACATGAACAAACATGGTTTCTATGGTTCAAGGCTTTTATTAGTCATACGTACATAGCTACAGTGTAGTTATGACGATGACAATCTTAGGTCACAGGCCTTGTTGGGTTATAAACAATGAGTATAAATGATCAAGCTCTACTTTGGCTTTAAGATAATTTAACTGCGTCAGCAAACTCCACTGGAGATTGGGATATTTTAACATACTGTAGTAGATAGCTCTCATCATTAAGACAAAAATAATACCTTATTTGCTAATTCCTTTTACTTGGAAAGTGCATTAGAGCAAAAACTATTGTTGCCAATAAATATACGGAATGAACCCCCCTAAAATTGTCATTAAGCCTACCACTGAACCACGATAATTATATTGACTGAGTTTTTAACATTAAAGATATTTTAGGTAAATTGTGATTTTGGGCTTGATGAATAAAACAGAATTGACATGTTTGTTTTGCTGTAGTAGACACTGTAGGTATAGGCTATAGGGGGAAAAGGCACTTATGGAAATATAGTACATATTTCCATACCAATCAGAATACTTTAATTATCCAGAGATTGGATTTTGTGACAGTTGCTTCATTTTAGAATACAATAAAATAAAATATAATAAAAATATTCACATTAACATAACAAATTAAAGTTAAAATGCACACATTCCTACTTCAACAACATTACATTATGTGAACATTTCTCTATATGACCAAGTGTCTTTTATTTACATTGTGTTAAAATAAGATGTAGATAAGATGCACTTTATTAATCCCAATTTGGGAAACATTTTTGTTACACGAGCATAAAACAAAACAAGGCACATAATAACAAATTAAAAGAGTATAATAAACTATTCTTAAATATAAACATCTCAAAATAGAAATAATAATAAACCAGCATTAGAGAGTAAGACAAATATACAGAAGACCATGAAGATAAAAATGTTTAATGATGTAATGGACTGTACACATATGAAGAGTTTTTGGGGGGTCCTGTTGGGGGGGGGGGGTGGCTGGAGGAAGTATCCGTCTGCGTGTGAGGGGTGAGGGTGAGAACAAATGGAGACAGGCATCGGTAGGAGGCCGTAGAGAGGGGAGGAAGTGTGGAAGGGGGAGGGAACAAGGGAGACAGCCCTAGCGGCACAGTGGGAGGACTATCCCATGCCAGGACTTGTGGCGGCTGCAGCGGCCCGGACTGAAGGAAGTGTGCAGGGGGGCTGAGCAGCAGAACAGCAGCAGACCAGGAACCGAACTCAGGCTTCCATTTTATCACCGACAGCCTCTGAAAAGGAGAGGACCGGGTCCAGCTGAGCACATTCCAGCAGAGGAAAATGAGCCTTTCAGCCTGCATTAAGCCTGTATGACGGGCTGAGGGCTCTCTGATCAGGACTGTACCCACTACTTCTGCAGCCTCGACTGACAAAGGGACACAGAGGAGAAAAACCCCAGAATCAAAGTGCTCGCTTTCTGTTTGAAAAGGTAAGGGCACTATGTTTGAACTTTTACACGGTCAATACTTAGCAGGGAGGCCTTTTTAAAACTAGGCTGGTCAGTATTTAAGGGCAGGATTAGTCTTTCAGACATTGTGGATTTAGTTTTCTCTTCTCTTCAGCTCTTTGCTCAGTCACATTTAATTGAGTTTGCTCAATTATTCAAAGTGCAAAACAGGCCACTGCCCTCTTTATTTATTTTGGCTCCGACTAAAACCAGAGATGTGTGTTTGTGTTTTGCTCCAGCTCCTCCAGCAGCACAGAGAAGGGACTCATTCAAACTGACCCAGCACTGATTCCCTGTTCAATGTGAACGAGTATTATTTAAAGTCTTTGAATTGAACTTCCTGAATCTTGGATTTAAATATGTGGGTCTTTTTTATCTTTTAAATGTCTTCCTCAATGAACTGTGTTTTGCAATGGCTATAATTTGGGGTTCCTTGCTATTGTGGGCTCTGGAGACCTTGTATAATGTGAAACACATGGGGCCATTCTTGTGGAAGACTTGTATCCAGTAGTCTGAAAAGTTCCAAAAGAAACCATGCGTTTGAATTTCTCAGTCGGTAGATAAATGATGTAGACAATCAGAACAAGAGTATGGTTTTTTTCTCTTTGAGCTACAGCTGCTGCGTGGTATTTGTGGCCCTAGGGCTGTGTTTCTCAGGCAGCCATTGTTGATGACATGTACAAGCGCCCTTACATCACAACAACTTCAACCCTCTTCACCTGAATATCAGTCACTCCTTTGGAAATCAGACACACACCTGCATTAACACCCTCTTTCTGTCAGGCAACATAAACCATGCAGGTTGTTCAGAACATTTTAAAGGCTAAACTCTTTCAAGATTAGCTTTAATTACAGACCCAGTAAGACAGGAGAAACATTTTTGAACCGGCAATTATAGCTTTTGTCCGTGGTTCAATTTGAAGTCAGTCGTATGAACAATATCTTGCCCCTCAAGGCGAAAAAAAAGGTGCATCAGAAAACCCAAAGTGTTAGGTGGTAATTACAAAGGGCTGGCAGGACGACAGATGAATGGGGATCCTGATGGTGTGGTTTGGACAGGTGGGTTGGCAGAAGGTTGGGGTTGTGTACTGTAAACAGAACACTGTGATCTAACCCTGGGAGGAACAGCATGGGACAGAGCGCTGGGGCATTTCACTTTGTCACGGCTGTGCCATGGCCACTTGGCTGACATGTGTAAGTCATTAAACAGAGAGAAGGAGACCAGAAGAAGGAAGGCTGTAACAGCTATAAAGAGAGTAGAGAAAAAGAGAGATGGAGGGAATGAGAGAGCGAGAGTTGGAACGTAATCCATTTTGGAACGCATTCCACATTGACCTTGGGATAGAAAACGGTAATTAGGGAGCACTTTAGGAGCCTTAAGGGTGCACAGATTTGCTCAGGGCTGTCATTTTTATTCCCTTCAACATATCTCATGAAAATGTGGGACAAATACATGTTAGAGTTCCAGGGTTACTAAATAAACGTACTAATAATACGCATCTCCCGCTTCCATGCCTCATGGTTTTGTTTATTTCAGTTCATTAGCAGTAAATGGGTGTCAAAGTCATTTTGTAAACATATAAAGCCCCTGACAGGAAAAGGCCAGAACAAACTGTGGGCGGCCTTGTCCCTCTCGGGGCCCTTCAACCAGCCTGTTATGTCACTGTGGACATGTTATCCCGCAGAATTGGCTCGTGCCAAGTATGAATACACGGCAGTTTGGAACAGTTAAGCTGAGGGTATCAAGGTGTTTTAGGTGGCTATTAGCTGTGAATGCTAAATTCCAAGTGGGGGCTACAGACAGATGACAATAGCAAGAAACAAATCTGTTCTGGTTGTAAAACTCCTGTCATCTGATTGAGTTGTAAACAGGCAGATAATGATATGTTCATGTGCTGGGAAACAAATAAAGAGTAGGAAATAAAAAGCTACCTTTAGTAAAAAAGGTTAAAACATTTTACAATCCAGCCCTGCCGGCAGCTAGAATTCCTGAAGCATTTATGGCACTTAAGCTGTTACTAAGGTTTGCAGACAAGCAGTTTAGGAGGTCATTAATCTGTCCCGAGTCTCCCAAGAGGCAGAGGTGTGTAGCAGCTTTTTCCATAGGTCCAAAACAGAGTGGGTTGGATGAGCTTTATCACCCCTCTTTGAATCCAACCTCTCAAAAGCTGCAGCTCTGTTCCAGTGAACGTTTGTGTTGAGTTGGGGTTTTGTGCTCCAAGGAATATCAGTGCATTCATTTTTGGTTTCAGACACATATTTTCGTTTTAATGGACCTATAAAAATATAAGTTGTCACATAATTGAGGCCTTTACCTCAACATGTCAATCATAAACTAGAAGCCGGAGCCAACAGAAGCATTTCAATTTATCATTGAAGTGTGATGGGGAGAGGGGGTTGCCTTAATTGCTTTCATATGTTTGCAGACATAATGTTGAGGACATTTGAGTTTTCTTTTATTTATTTAAAACACCTTTTACTAATTGGCAACCTATCTATTGAAATGTTGATTGAGTTAAGTAGATTTATATATATATATTTTCAGTAAAAAATAGATTAAAGTTTCTCCATCGCAGCTTTTTTCAAGTAATTATTGAACACATTTTAGCTTTAAATCATTTGGTGGGCTTTGATAGTGAATTGCAATTAGAATTCGTCATTGTTTATACATTTTACAAACTTAATACTGAACCAAAAAGGAATTGATGCCTTCATTGATAACAACAATACAAGTATCCCACTATTAATTACATCTTAACCTTTCTGTTTCACTGATCTTTTATCAGGGTTGATAACTTTATCTCATGACTCATGTCTATAAGAATATGCACTTCCTTTGTGTTCCTTCCCTTATGTACCCAAGACACTCTACACTGTATTTTCTCTTCCAGTGGTTTGCACAAATATGTAAAAGCAATCTGCACTGTGATGGCCACACTGAGATTGCTAATGGAAAATACAGTCTATGGAGCCTAGACATGTAGCAACCGGCCTGATCACATACAAACAAACTTTTGCGTAAATGGATTCGGTTGCTGTGGCTCAACCCCAGGCTCGGGAGATTCTTTATTATTTGTGACAGACAAGCATGCAAAGTCTTTGCCAACTGTTGTTACTTACCACAGTGTACTCACTAAGTAAAAACAGCTATGAGGTCACTGTTGGCATGATTTAACCCTTTTGGGCTGACGAACTGATG